CTCTTTTTAAAGAAAAGTTTTCCATTATTTATTATATATATATTTATATTCTTTTATTATTCTTTCTGTATTACGATTTATCGTAAATTTATGTTTGAAAGATATCCAGGTGTAGTAAGGAAGCGATCTAAGCTAGTAACGAGAAAGCATAAAAATGTATGTAATGAGGAATGCCAATGCTGATTACAGCGGAATGCCAATGAATGGGGCGAGTCTTATTTCTTATATTTCAGGCGCTCGCGTAAACGTCAGTTTCCTTTACGCGGATGGTTCGTTTAGATAATCTCTCTCCGACCCTCAATCACGAAAGCTATTTATGGATCATGCGAATCTTCTTCAGCACACGCGCGCTCGCTCGCGTACCATCTTTGTATTTAAATCACTTCAACGCGGACAGCTCTCGCGCGCAGTCATAACGAACAGAACCGGATGTTTTGTCTATTAAACGAATGCATTATCGCGTGCGCGAGGGATCAAAAATTTTTCCGATAATATATCAGTGTTCGGAGAAATCTGATTGGATCTCCTGACGAGGATAGGATCGAGCACAATGGATTCTCGATTGCACGACGGCGATATGACGGCGCGCGCGTTCAGGTTGCGCGAAATCTTAATTAAACATGGACGGAGAGAATCGATATACGTTGCGTCTTTTGATCGGATCTCGGTCTTGCTCGATGCAGCGTTACGGGAGCTCGCACGGCTCACTTTCACCTGGCACAAACGACCGAGCCAATTGCGAAATTCTCGCGGTTTTATGTATCGACAGTGTGGATTTGTTCGCGATTGCAAATCTAATCACGCTATATTCACCGCGCGATTTACACGAGTATTTAATTCATACGATACGGTCGCCAATTGTGTATGAATTAAGCACGAATAATACAATTGATAAAATTGTGACATTACTATGTATGCATAGAAACAATTAAATCTTATTTCTATTTTATTTCTTTAATTGTATATATTTAACGCGACGTAATAATTGTCCAAGAAAGGAAAATAATTAATTTATTGTACGATATAATTTATAAACGGCACTTTTCACATCATGTTATGAAATGAAATGACAGGAAAGTAACGGCGATGATGTGTGTTGAAAGAAAATCTTTCTTCTTCTATTTTTATTCTCATCAGCGTAAACGCGGGATCCTGAAATCGAGAAGATAGACACAAGCGGCCTGAGTTAAAGAAACGAAAATAAATAATGGAGCTAATCAAACTAAACAAACGAGAGACTCAAAGGAAGATATAAAAGAAAACGAGACGACGTAATAAGGTTTCAAAGCGTTGTTTTAAAATTCTTATCGCTACAAACACATCGCAATAAAATCTCGGATAAGAAGATCGTGGATAGAAGATTCAAAAAAGTAGACCTGATCATGCGATGGCCGCCTTAACGACGATGTTCTCTCATTTATCAAGAATGGAAGTTGTCTCGCTTCTTGCGTCTATCCGTCACTCGTTAACCGGACGATCGTTACTATCGTAAACGATGAGACAGAAAAAGAGTGTTAAAAAAAAAACAAGGAAGATCGGGTAGAGACGCAGTTTCGGAAAAATAATAGCGCCCGGATCGCCTCGAGAGTGGCAATCGTTCAAGGTATAATAATTTCGAGGGACCTTCTCTTCTCTCCTGCACCCTTCGCAGGTTTCCTCCGCTCTTCGTTCATGCTTGCGCTGCTTCTTCTCCCGAGTCTTTTCTTTGTTACGTTTACGAGCCTCTTCGGATCCACGCCGCTCCTCCCGCTCGCGTTTCTCCTCGTCCTCTTCTTCCTCCTCTATCTCTCTCCGTCCGCACGCGGCATGCCGGTGAAATAAATCCGTGTATTCCGGAGGGTCTTAAATTCAACCGGAAATAGAATTTGTCCCGGGGCGGTCACGGGAGCCAGCACGAGGAAAGTCTGACGAAACGCTGGAAACAAGAAGAGTCGAACGAAAGCGAGAGCCCGCCCGAGTAGCGGTGAAGAACAAGAAGAGGAAAAGGGAGATGAGCGAGAACTTGCACGTGGCTCGGCGAAATTATTCCGATGCTTTCTCTAGACGGCGAAAAAATCGATAAAAGATAAAAAATTATATGTTTTGCAAGAAAAATGAGAACAAACCTTAACTTATATCCCGTTAATTGAAATTAAGATCAATGATCATATTTACGAAGTGGAGCGTTCACGAGACTCGAATATTTTATTATTTACTTTTTGGCACGCGTAAAGATTACTGATAAAAATTAAAAAAAAAAATCCTATAGTAAAATGTAATGTCTTACGATGGATTAAAAGAGCCGTTATCGGCCGCGTAGAACACGTCCTAAGATCAATCACCATAAATTGAACGACGAGCTTCCGTTACGCGCGTGATTGGATATTTTTTATCTTCATGTACAGCGTGACAATCAAACTGTCATCCATCATGTTTCGGAGATAGAGACTTTCTTTCGGATAACAAACTTCTACGGGATAAGCCCCGTAAAAGAGCGACAGGGAACGTCTTAATCTGGATAGAAACCTGGCTGCGGCAAAAGTTTTTCGCAGAGTTGTGCGGGAGGAGTATAGTCGGAGGATTTGCGGCGGATGGATGGAAGCGCGAGAGCGCGACGTCACGAGAGCCGAAGAGGGGTAGGGGGAGGGAGGGGGGGGGAGGGAAAAAAGCTTTTCACCTTGAAAGGAGGCAAGTGCACTCGAAGATATCCCCGAAAGCCAAAGAGAGGCATTGTACACAGTATATGTATCAGAGGCGCGCGTTCTCTCTCTCTCTCTCGGTTGCACCCCCCTGTGATGGGCGAGTATCGCGGCTTGACGCGAAACTCGTTGTAAGAGACGCGGCATCGCACAGAGGCAGGGCTTAAAATTTTCACGAGCCACTCGAGAGTCGGGAGGCCTCCTCCGCCTCCCGAAATCTGCAATTTGGCGTACCTACCTGCCTGGGTGGCGGATACGCGGAAAGAGGTCTGGCCCGGAAGAGGACGCGAGGCAAGAAGAAGGAGAGAGAAAGATGAAGAAAGAGAGACGGCAAGAGGCCTTTGCTCGTTGAAGGAGGTGGCCAACCACCTACAGAGTGGACGACCTGCTAGCGGGAGAAACGATCCTCGTCGTGTTTACGTCTGCTTTTCGAAGGAAGTAAAAAGTACCGGAGACGCGGGGATTGGATAAGGGAAAAAAATGGAAAATAGAGACTCTTCTCAAAGATACTCTAGATACCTGCCTACCGGGCAGTCTTTCTTCTTTTTTTTCTTCTTTCCCATTACTACTTCAATCTCTCTCTCTCCCTTTCTCTCTCTCTCTCTCATGCTCTCACTTGAGACGAGCAAAGCTGTTTTCGGCAACTTTTTTAGCGGGTCTTATCAAAAAAGTGAAAAAGCAGAACGGATGAAAGAAAGTACTACGGATTTCTAACCCGTTCCGAGAGAGAGAAGAGGAAGTCGTTTTCAAGTGGGAAGGGATGAAACGGAAAGGACGATGAGGAGGCCCGAAGAGGTGAACCAGAGGAGAAGGAGGACATCTTAAATTTTTGACGAGACCACTCGTCGGGCAACAGTAGAAAACGGATGATACCACAAGCGGTTGGTAGCCGAGCTAAGAGGCGCTACCTGGCGCGCCGACCCGAGCTGAGCCGAGTCGCAACAGCGGCGGTGGCGGCGTTTTACTGAAGTCTGCAATTTCGCGGATGCATCTTGGCTGACCTGGCTAGAATCGGAGAGAAAGGGAAGAAGCGAGAGAAGGTCTTTGCCCGCTTTAGAAGAACTTCTAAAGAGTGCCTACTGTCTCTCTCTTGCTCGTTCTGTTTTTTCTTTCTCTTTCTCTCTCCTCTACTCTCCTTCCGTCTCTTTCTTTCGCTGTTTCGTTCTCTGACACTCTTGCTCTTTTCCACCTCTTTGCATTTCGGCACTTTAGAATTTCGTCCCTACTTAGATCCTCGCGCCCGCGCCTTCTCGCACGCGGCACTCTCTGTCTTTCTTCTCTTCTGTCTTGTTCCTCTCGTTTCATCGAAGAATGGTGAGAGGCCGGCCAGACCTTAAAGCCTACCAGAGCGAAAGCGAAAGACAGAATGTGCCGAAAAGGGACGGTCGATACTTTACTCTCTCTTTCTCTCTCTCCCTACCGTGTTGCGTTCTCTACGAGCACGAGAAGAACAGAAGTCGAAGATGGTGGAGAAGGAGACGGATAAACGCATGGTATTGATCCTAAAACCCCTTACCCTCCCACCAGTCGCACCTTATCCCGACACCCTTCCACTATCGTGATGAACCCTAAAGTTTTCTGTTCCGAGTTTTCGCCCCTTTTCCTATTTTTTTTCTTTTCACCATTCTCGCATTCTGTCGTTACTACCACTATTTTCTTTTTCACACGCACGGTAATTGACCGTTGGGTTGGATAGTAACAAATTCCGGTATTACCGGAACCCTTCGCCAATATAATACAAGCTGACCTTGAACTCGAGATATATCGTTCGTGGGCCTTACTTTCCTTCTTTCATATATGACATATATTTTTTTCACCATTGCCGAATCAGATACTAAAAAATAACATTTTTAAAGGAACAACACGTGCAGAAATGATCTCTCACAATTTTGTTCTTATTGTTATGTATTAATTTATTTTGTTAAAATAATTATTTATGCGTATTTTTATAATTATTTATTATTATACATTAGTATTAAATTCTATCTTTATAACAAAAATAGTAATGAAAACTTATTGTAAATAACGTTAATTTATTTAAAAAACAACAAAAAAATATTTTACATTAATCAATGAACACCGTATAATTAAAACATATTTTTTAATGAGAAAATAATATCGTGTCTTTACGAGAGGTTATCAGAAGAGTAGACTAAAACTAATGAATGTAATTCTGCCTTTTCATTCATACAAGCGATAAACATCATGTTGCTTGTATCTGTATATGCATATCGAAATTTCGGAAATAAGATAGTAAATAGTGTGATAATACAACAAAACAAATGAGATTTTAATTAATACGATAATTTTTATTTGTTTCAGATTTAGCAGCCAATAAAACTGCTCTTCGTTTATCAGTGACAGAGGCTTGGATCCACATCGAAGAGTCGAAATTGGCAAAGCAAGATCGAGTCTGCTATACAACTGTATCACCATGTAAAGTAAATGAGAAGAATTAGTTTCCGTTTGCCATATTAAAGAAAAACACATGTTAGGGATGAAGCGAGACGACGTGTAAATGCGTGTTTGGCTCAGTGATATTAGTTATCACGTGCACTTATAACATTGTTATTTATCATTAACGAACGTATGATCAGCACCGCGAGTGCGCTGAAAGAATTCTGGAAATAGTGAAAAGCCGCGGAACGATAAGCTGGAGCATAAGCGGGTGAGGAAAGCTGTGGCCGGTGAAGAAGGCGGAGGTGGTGGGTGACGAAGAGGGTGCAGGAATTGGACGGTGGCGACCGGTGGTGGTCGTGACGGGCAAGACGACAATCGAGGCGCGAAGCGAGGCTTCGAGGAGGCATGAGGAGGCGAGAGTGACGACACTGCATCCTCGCGCTGATCGTGAGAGGACCGGCGGCCGTCCACTGCGGCAGTGTGGGGCCCACACGGCGATAAGAATGGCCCCCTTCAATATGGCGGGCGTAGCAGGCCTCCTAGCCACCTGCGCCGCCGTTGCTGCTTCCGCTGCCCACCTTCTGCCGTTGCTGCTGCTGCTAATCTGCCCGCGAGGGACCCAGGCGGATCAAGGTAAGCGCTCGTCCGTTCAGTTCCCTACCTTCTTTTACCTTACTACTGCTATCTACGTACTTATGTAGAGCTAATCAAACCGAGATGATAGTCCACGCGGAGACACCTCGGATCGATATATCGCCGCCAATTGCCACTTTTGGATGTATACTTATTGTTAGCCAGATGTATCGGGTTAGATAGGATCGAAGTGCTCGCCACGTGATCGACCGATCTGTTGAGAAAACGGAGTTTTTCGATAACCGTTTATCGTTAATCGTGAATGACTTAATTATCTCCGATGCGACTGCTTTTATTCTACAAAAAATAAAATATTTTTAGCTCTTGTTAATTGTCTCAATACAAGATATCTCCAATTACGCGAAAAAAAAAAAAAACTGTTTCGGAACATATGATACGATGAAAAGTAACGCGACATATATATTACTGCGAAAATAAATGTTAATACGAATAGTAATTTGCGACAGTAATATGCGCAATATCTCTTTTGTCCCGATCCAAGACATTGGTACGGTTCTTCTTTCGACTAACGGAGAAGCGAACGTAAGGGACACGTTAGTTCGCATCAAGTCGACGTTTCCTGACGCTCCGGTCGTAATTTCGCTGCACGAAGCGGCGGCCGCGTGATTTATTGCGCGGAGACGCTGAATACGAAGGAAAGAGAAAGAGAGAGAGAGAGAGAGAGAGAGAGGGAGGGAGAACGACCAAATTGCCACGACACTAATTACGTACGCACCGCTATACTTACCCACACGAATATCCTGGTGGCCGATCACGTGGCGGCTATGAGTTTCTCGTCTACTTTAACTCACATTAGGCTATTATTTTATATAATCCGTCCTTTTTTTCTTTCTCGTGAAACAAAAGCGACTCTCCAACTCTTATTCAGCATTTCTTCTAATATTGTATCTGATTAATACAGCGCGGCTCTTTATACGTCGTGGCTTTAATACGGGTTATAAAAGAGCTATCATTATAAATTAGCAAAATATTTTACTCGGTAATTTTTTCCAGCCTAAAATACCTCGGACACATTTTACTTTTAAGTATAGTCGAAAGGCCAAATATATGTATATTGACGGGAAGAAATTTCAGATCCATTTACATTAACCACGAGCTTTGTCTCTTGTCCACCCTTAATCGCGATATAATTTCTCGTCGCATCGAGATTCACGGCAACGCACTTTTAATTTCCTTTTTTCTTCTTCCCTCGTCTTTTTTTCTTTCTTTCTTTCTTTCTTTCTTTTTTTTTTATGAGCGTCGAGTCAGTATCTCGAGGCGATGGATGTTGTTTGCTCGGATAAAGAATTCTTCTGTGCGCACTACCCTCGTCCCGATCGTTGCGAACGTGATTTAACGGAGCCAAGATTGGCCTTCCAGTCCCATTATGCGTTTCTGAAGATCATCCGCACAGGCTACCCGGAACGTTTTCCATATTTTAACCGAAAAAAATCCTGGCGCCTCGGGCATCTCGATGGCTCGCCCTCTCCGCGGCCCTTCTCATTCCCCCCCTTTCGTAGAGGGGAATAACGATAATTTCGTAATGCGGACCAATCTTCCGAATTGCGAGATCGTCCGAGGTGCTGGTAGTTAGCGTTCGGGGATTAAAAGGGGATCATTTCGTCGCGCTTTTGGGGACGGTCGGCGCGCCGGCTGCTCGAGACGTAGAGACGCCTCCACGAATTCGGCCAGCAAACTCGCGGCATCCCGTCTTATTTTACACGATGCGATTTTTGAGCGTTTCATGAAAAATAAGATGCATCAAAAAAATGGCTAGAATCCTTACATTTTGGACGAGAAACTCTATTAATGCAGAAAATGTGCACGTGTGTACAATAATAAAGTTTTAATTTTTACACTCATTAATTTTTCTTTACTACATATCTATTATATACTTTTGATCTCGTGAAAAAAAGGGAAACATAATTTATAATACATGAAGTATATAATTTGATAAATCATTATATGTATACATTTTACAAGACACATATATATGTCTTCTAGCATATAGAATTATATGCGCTGTGCTTTATATATAATCGATTAGATAATAATCAAGACTAACCCACGTGTTCCTTGCTCCTGGCGCATTTCGGGGCTGACTCGGTTTCGAGATCTCCGGGTTACATCCTGCGATTGCGGCCACCGCGGAGTACCCGCGGCAAGTTTCTCCGGTGGCCCCTCGAGAGTTCTTCTTCCCCCCTCCTCGATACGTAACGCGTTTAATGGAACTTGCCAAGGATCCGTTCCCAGTGGACCGTGTCTGCCGATGGAGGCGGCTAACTTTGTTTCCCTCGACTCGCACGAAACGCGAGATCCTCGTTATCCTTGTCCCCGCGATATCTTTGCGAAGCTCGCTTCTATTCCTCTTGCCCCCTCTCCTACCCCTCCTCCTCGCCCCCTCACCTTTCCGTCGTCGCTGCCGTTGCCGCTAACATCTGCGAACTTTATCCTTCGATCGCACTCGTGATCTCAAAGATGCGCGTCCATTACTTTAGTTGGCGAACTTTCAAATTTACAGGTACAAGCACCGCCGGAGCATCGGTCGCTATGAGTGAGCTTGGGCTGCAAAATACCGAGAGTTAAAATTCTTCATCGGCGCGTGACGTCTCGCGAAATCGAATTCTTAAACTATCGGTGGGATCATGGATGTACACATGCCATCGATCTCTCCCCTCGATATGAATCATCGATCTAGATCAGCGTTTTTTTGTTTTGTTTGAACAAAAAAGAATTCTTATCGATATAAAAAATATTGACAGTTACTTATGAAATAAATATAAGATAAATGCATATAAAATACATTAATTTTTTTAACATTATAAATATGATTTTAATTGGTTTATATTTTTCAAATAACCAAAGTGATAAAAATATTCACTTTTTATTGACATTTTTTTAAATTCATTAACATAAACGAAAAGAAACTGATCTATCATACATAGTTTAGTCCTCGTTCTCTCGATCGCGAACGAACTCTTTCGAGAATTTTAAACGAGCCGAATCTTGTGTAATGTGGCGGTCGAGATTCAATTATTTTCTCGAAGTAAGAGAGGCCCATGAACATTCTCGCTACCACCGTCCACTCGTGCTCCGAACTCATTTACCGTTCAGAAGCGAGTCCATCGTTTTGCTCTCCGACGATGCGATCGCCCAGAGAGAGAGAGAGAGAGAGAGACCCCACCCAAGGCTCGAAACTTTCTTTCATTCGATTCCGTTGTACGTTAACAGACATTAGCCGGGAGCCAACGCGAAATCAGAAATGGACGAACGAATCGGAATTGCGATAGCGCGGACGAGAAGAAGTCTCGTGGCTCCTATAATTGCGTCCCTCGCTAACTTCTCCGTTGATCCGTTTACCGTAAACGCATTAATCGATACCGCTCACTCGATGCGCAGCTGTCTTCGGGCGGCCCGAGAGTCGTTGATTAAATTTTAGCTAATCCCGCTCTACGAGCGATCCTTGGTCCTGTCTCTCATCGCGTCACGCGCGCGCGTGCGCGCGAGAGAGAGAAAGGGAGTCTTCGAAGCTCTCGAACGTCTCTAGCGTCTCTTGACGGGAGCGAGTTTCCTTGGTCGGTCTTGGGCAGAGCAACGAGGAAGAAGTTAGCGATTCCCCGATGCGGGAGCGACATCAGGATATCGGGAGCGAGTAGCCGGGAACGGGTCTCGCGAGAAGCAGTGCTCTCTTGCCGAGCAAACTCGATTGCCTCCGCGAAAAGGCAGAAAGACTCGTTGGAGCTACGCTCGTAGTCGTGCGAGAGCCCCAGCTCGTCGCTTTTATTCCTTCCTTCTTCGGCTCCTTGTCTCTTCCTTTCTCTTTCTCTCTCTCTTTCTCTCCAGCTGCTGCCTTCCTTCTCTCTTTCTCTCTCTCTCTCTCTCTCTCTCTCTCTCTCCCCTCCCCCCTCCCTCCTCCACCGTGTGCATACCTGTACAACCTACTACTCTGATCCCGGGCCCCGACTGTACGCGAAGGAAACCTGGCAGCATCCTATCGGTCCGACAAGGACGGAGTAGGACTTGTCCTCTATCGTCTGAGAATTGAAGGGGGAAGCGGAGAGAGAAAGACAGAGACCGAGAGAGGGAAGGGCTACGCGCCTGTCTCTTCTCACGCGTGTTGTATGCGTGCACGCGAAGATTGGGCTTATGGCCTAGGTACGCTTCCCCATATGCGAGGAAAGGATCACACGACGAATGTAGGCTACCCTCATTGATCGAATCCGATAGAACGCTGTGGCATCGCGATTGAAATGAGAGAGATAGAGAGAAAAGAGGGCGAGAGGAAGAGGAATTCGCGATGGTACTTCTCCAGATGCATCGCGGCGAAAATGCATCTATCGCGAAATTGATGGTCTTCCTACCCCAGTACTTTGCGCTCCTCTTGTCCATTATGCAACACGGAGGGAGATACGCGTTATCTTGTATTTAGTATCACTAAAGATATCAAGGTACGTTCTCGCTGTAAATAAAAATGTTAAACGATCCCGTTTAAGGTGTTCAGGAAAGACTGGGAGATGCGTGATAGCGAGAAATTTACGCGAATCACCTGTTCGATTTCGGCATCAAATTAAGAATGAGAATGACGTTCGGCGAGTTAATATATTCGAGCTATCGGACGTCATTATCGGGAACCTGTCAACATCTCGATACGACGTTTAACTTATATCTTCGGAAGATGTTAACTCTATCGATACCGACGGACGGGACGGATTCTGGTTATTACACCGCCGGTCGATCTTTCAAATCGGGTTCTGGCGCGCCGAAAAAACTTTATATTTTTAACTCGACGTTGTCGTGCACCCTCCCTCACCGCTCGCGGAATATCAATGCGATTTAAATATTCAATATCATCGGCGACGTGCAATATCTGCTCAAGCTGTGGCACGAGTCACAAAGGGTCGCTTCGGTATAACCTGCCAGAATAAAAATCAGTATTTTTTTTATCCCGAAGCTTTTTGTTTCGTCGGATGATTGGACGAAAACGCGCCTCTCCGCCATCC